ACTTGAGCAAACGTTTTTGTTCATTTAAATAAATAAAAGCTAGTACAAACGAGATTAATGCCCTTGTCTATAGGGTAACTTTGGTACAAACATTGCAAGGGCCAAGGGCACTAGCACAGTACACAATTATAAAGACCATATGCGCCGTACTGATTTAGAGTAGTACTCTAGTAAGTGAGAAAATTAAGCAGCAAATAAAAATCTACTTTGAAAGTATTCAATGCAGTCACCGGCCAGATCTCTACCGTACAATACGGTTTACATTTTTGAACAGCGTGAATTTGATAACTGGTTCTGATCACAATTCCCTAATTTCTGCTTTAAAGGCGAAGCACACAGATGGATCTAAGCGAGAACGGCAATATTGCGAGTCGTCTAAGGAACCGAGTGGGCAAGCAACCCAATCGTACAGCAAGTTGGTTGGGTTGCCGACCTGTCTGGTCGCAGGCGCCCACTAGGGGCACTAGCCACCAGCGGCGGAGTTCGTCCTTAGCGAGGCGCCGAGAGTATCTTGATACTCTTGTATATGTAGATGCCGTCCTTTGCAATCCGAAAGAGATCTTTTGCAATACGACCGATGTACCGCGCAATTCGGCCGACGTATCGGAAGGGGTCGAAGCGAACGCCGTGGTTGAAAACGTCGGCGTCCTCGGCCGCGGTCCTAACGTCCTGCGACAGTCGTTTCACGGCCTCCACGACGCGGCTCCCACCGTCGATGAGCTGTCCGACGGGGACCTTGTACTCCAACCACAGCTCCTTGAGCCACCGCAGGAACTGCTGGAGCTCTCCGGCGTTGCCGGGCGCGGGCCGCGCGACCAGCACGTAGGGGCCTCGCCAGGGGAGGGCCCCGCCGCCGTAGGGGGCCCTCCCCGGCACCGTCACCAAACCTCCCGGTCCCGACCCTCTGCTAAAAAGAAATGTATTTTCGGCGGTCTGGCCACATGGACTGGTCCTCCCAGCCGTTGGTGGCGGCCGCGGGGGTGGCGGCCGCGGCCAGGTGCTGAAGGTGCAGGTGGTGCTGTGTGGCTGACTGGTGGTTGTTGCGCTGACGCTTCTCTTGAAACTGCCAGAAGAACTGGACGGCGGCCATGGCGGTGGACACGAGGGCTAGCAAGAGGGACTTGAGCTGCACCATGAACGACAGCACCGCCACCTTGCTGGAGATGAACATGAGGGGCATCATCTTGAGCGCCAGCAGCCCCTGTAGCATGGTGGCGTCTATCTTCTTCATCTTTTGCCTGCTTCCCCGTTTGCTGCGTCCTGGAGCAAAAAGGAAACAAAGATGCGGTGATGATGGTGAGTCTATTTTTCTCCTCGGTATCACGAATGGGTTCTAGCCTCAGCTCAGCTCTAGCTAGCCCGCCTTCCCGAACCTCACAACAATCATTAAAGAAAATAATAAAAATAAAAACCAGCCGTGCGGTGCAAACGCGACGTCCCTTCTCTGGAACCACCCCGTGCGCACTAACAGGCGCGTAACTAGAAGTGCACTCATCAATGAGGCATGCGGCTCGCGGTGGCGTGCGCCGTGAGGGCGGGGGCTGCAGTGCAGAGACCGACCGCATCGACACACTTGGCTCATCGCCCACGAGTGCATCTCCGTTCCACGCCAACAGCTGTGTAACTGGTACGCTTTGTTGTGAACCTGACCGTGGCGGGGCGGTGCGGTGGTGGGGGCGGACATCAAGCAGACCCTCAGAGCCGCCCAACCACATTGATAAAAAAAATATGTCTGAGCAAAGAAAATTTCGAGCACAGCACTGAAACTCAAAGCCATTTTGAGCTGGGACAGAAGTCAGGAGCATTAGACAACGTTTAGTGCTCGGAAATAAATATTTTTCTCAGTGCAACAGGCACACAATGCCTCCTTACAGCAAGACTGCGGCCCCAAACCGTGACGCCAGCGGCGTAGACCCCTTCTAAAAGCAAAGCCAAAGCCCAAGCCTCAACATGTCTAGTGCCTCAGAATCAGCCATCAGTCGGCCCTGACATGAGTCGAGTCACCCTCGTCTCTGTCATTGGCGTCTTGTTGAGCAATTAACATTAATTGACTGGTGACACATTTTTTGAGATTCGTTAAATTATTGTACGTTTGAGTGTAATTTTGTTTCGTAAAAACTCATTTCTGGTTGAGGGGGGTGGAGGAGGTTTAGTTGTGATTATTGCTGAGCTTAGCTTGAACTTGAAGTTAAACTTTAACTTTAAATGCTCAGCTCTGTCAGAAAGCGCAAGGGGAGACCGCCCGGAAGATGGCGTGAAGTGAGGCGCCTGGCGTGAGACGTGGGATGTGAGGTGGATAGGCATGCCAACCAAAATCGCGAAAACATTTTAATTTTAGCGCGCCGCAGGCCAAGGTAGACGCACATTTAGCTCAGCTTCACACGGTTTTAACGTGCGTCTACCTTGTTTACGTAAATTCGTTCTCACACTGCTGGACGAGGCACCTGGAAGACGCATCTCATTTTGGCGCTTCACGCACACGCACCCGCGCCGGTCGGTCAGCAGGGTGCCCGGCCGTCGGCCGTGCCAGCCTGTTAGCGGTTTAGCTCGCCAGGCTGCGTGCCGTAGGCCGTAGGCGTGCTGTGCTACGCGTTTGCAGGCTGTTTTAAATAGAGCGCCGCGACAGCGCCAATACGACTCGGGCACTGGAAGTGAAACTATAATAACTCTGGTGTAAATTTCCCCTCAACTATGTCAAGCGTAGCTCTCCCGACAGAGGGACGGAGAGAAGGGACTCGCTTCTCTCCAGGTCCGGTGGCTCCAGCGGGGCGCGAGGCCAGCGCTGCGCGTATAAATGCGGTCAGTTCTCCGATACGCCCACACGACGCCTTATACCAGAGCAGATCGGCTGCTATACGTCTCAGATACCCTATGCGGAAAATTCCTCGTGCACTCAGAAGTGGAAAGCTAACACGTTATATATCGGGGGCGGGGGCCATCGTAAAATATAGTTGAGACATCATTCCCGTATGTGAAAAATACCCTCTTGGTGCACTATAAACGCAGGTGTGTGAATGTCGGACACTTTTAGGTGTGTAAATGCCCACTGATACACTTCGAGGAGTGAGGAGTGAATTTGAAAATTCACTCTTTGGTGCCTTTACTGTGGACGAATGGCGTTCACTTACCTACAAGTGTGCGACACATTCACGCACTTGGGTTTCCGGTGTGATTGCCGTTTTAACTAGTTGCCACAGGGAACGACAACTCAGAGGAAACAAATTAGCCGAATAGAGCAATAATAAAAGACACGTTTCTGCCCTGCGCGTAACCCAAGTAACCCGCGGTGCACTTCTACAGACTCCTCTCGGACCCAACAACACGCCCGTGCCTTTGAATAGCTAATGCGCGCTGTAATACACGTGCTGCCATAGTGCGCGTGCGCGTGCGAGCCCCCATGACGGCGGCTCAGTGCGGGGCCGAGTGCAACCTGCTGCAACAACACTGTCCGCCTCACTTATCTGGACGGTCTGTTTCCCTCGCGCCCGCCCCGGGCAGCCAGTCCGTTGCATCGGCGCCCAGACCAGCGGCTAGTTATTCGCAATAACAGGCAAGTTCGCTCGTAATAACTTTTTTTTTTCGCGATTAACGGAGGAGCGTCGCGGCCGCTGCTCCGCTCCGCGGTCGTCGTTACATCGCGCTGCCTGAGCGGCACGGTGCGTCTGCGTCTTTACGAGTTCGGGCGACTTTTGCATCGTTTGGTCTGCGACGGGCTTTGTTTCAAAAGTAAACCTAGCACCCCTGTTTTTGCAATTTTCTGCCTCATCCACTCAGAAAACGGTGTTCTTGACTTCAGTACAAGTCGAATAGAGTTGAGAACATGTATTCAAAATGTGCCCCTTGGAACTTGAACCAGGTATACATACATACTATAACCAAGTATACATATGGTTCAAGTGCCAAGGGGCACATTTTGAGTGCATGTTCTCCACTGTATTCGACTTTGTACTGAAATGAAGAACACCATTTTCTGGGTGTTGGATGTATCGGGTCCGTTCGCACTGATAAACCATCTCTGCATGACTGCTTCATAATTGTAAGTGTGCACCTGCAAGCTGAATACTTGCAGGTACTCAGCTCCATAGTACCAGGTGGCTGACTCACGCCGTGCAACTTCGTAGTTGTACTGTACCGCTTGCGCACGTGCGGGCTGGTTGCCTTCTCGCACGGGGCCCGAAGGAGCCGCGGGCAAAGAGGATAGGCAAGCCCACCTGCGGTACAGTATAACTACGAAAGTGCGCGGCGTGGAATCAGACACCTGGTATGGTATAGTTATTATATGTGCTTCCTGCAATTCTTCAACTCGGTAGCTGTACACTTGTTATATTAATTGTTAAGTAGTGGCACACTTGGTAGCGCCCGCGTCCGTCCGTCGGTACGATTCAAACAATGTCTGCTTTTTTTTAGGGAAAAGTGAAAACTTTGGGAACCCCCATAGTTTGAGGAAAACTCCTCAGATTTTGGGTAGATCCCTGAAAACATGACGGTAATTCCTACAGTTTCTTTTTTTTAATCATACTTTTGGTCTTCCTCAATTTATGGCTATTCTAGGCGTTCCACATAGTTTTCACCTTTTCCTTACAAAATGAGACATTGTTTTTACTGTGGCGTCCGCCCGTCCACCCCGCCCGTCTGCCAGCATGCAAACCGGTGACCGGGGTACAGGTAGAGACATGTCCTAGGGTTTTTTCACAGTATCGGGGATCGGAGGCATACGTCCAGGTACGTCCAGCGTGTCCCCGTGACGGAAAAAGAAGAGGGAATGCGAAGTACGTAGAGAGGAAGTGCATGTTTTGCCACGGGACCGGTCTTTTTTTACGTTTCCAGACTACTGATCACTGGTTATAAGCCGTTCGTATACGAGGAGGAATTCGGTACATGGCGGTCAGAGATCAACTCTATCCCCGCATGATCCTCGTCGGGTCACCCACCTCACCCTTCTCTATCCTCACCAACTCGACCCTACGTCACTGAGCCTGGCCTAGTCTGTCTTCCTGTCCAGCCAAAACACACTGACCCACCTTTCGAGGTACTGGTTCCACACGCACTAGCCCCAAGATGTTTGAGGCCTCCATTTCGTCTTCGTAGGTGTTCATTCTTATTTCGACTCACCTTCTTGCACGTCGTGGTCTCCGTCATCGTGATGATCGTGTATCCTGGCATCGTCTTCCTCTCCCTCGTCTTCGTCGTCACCCCTGCGGAGGTCCTCCGTCATCCTGGCATCGTGTAGGACCCGCTTGTCGAAGGCGGGGTCGTCTTCGGCGCCCTCCTCGCCGATGTCGTTCGCGTCCTGTGAAGAACACGATACGCACGCACGAATGTTAGACACATGCACAAGCGGGCGACCGATAGAGGCATCAGCTTTCGACGGTGACAGAGGTCACTCGCTAAAAAGCGGTGGATATCGCACAATCACGGGCAAAACAAAGGTGCTGAGACTCCTTTAAAAGGCACTAAAGGTTTAGTGCCTGTATCAAATATCTAAAACCGGCCGATGGCACTAATCTTTAGCGCCTTTTGGGCTCTTCAGTGCCTTTGTAAACGCACGAAACTGAAAATTTCTTGAGCACCCCTGGAGAAGGCACGAAACTGAAAATTTCTTGGGCACCCCTAGAGAGGCGTGATTTAGGATTTAGCACCTTTGTTTTTCCAGAGAGTTCGTTACTTTAATCGGATTTAACGTGAACAACGCGCGTATGTCATTTTGTGAGCCTGGAAAACACACACACACACACACACACCACGCACATCGATGTACATATGTTCATGACACTATTTCAGCACCTTCTCTCTGCTCGGTGAGGAGTATCCCTGCATGGCGCGCTGTCGGCGGCAGCCGGCCTGCCCCACAGCGCCCGGACACGACGTGTCGCCTGCGGGGACCTCAACGCCGGGGGCGGCCGGGACGTCCGCGGGGCGCTCCGCGGCCGCGGCCGCCACCAGGCACAACAACAACACCGACAGGGCGGCCAGCATCGCTCCAGCGGCGGAGGGCGGGGCGGGTGCTGGAGTGGGCTGCTGGAGCGGGAGCGCCGGTGTTGGCGGCGGGCGCGTGGCTGTCAGACTGATAGCTAGACGGGGCCGCGACGGAGCCCTAGTGCAGCGGGTGCAGCGCCGGCCGGCGAGCGGAGCGGCGGAAAGGAGGGGGCACTCACACTAGCCGGCCCAGCCGCACCCTCGCGTGTCCACTGGAAAAGGGAGGGGGGGGGGTCATTGAAGGGTGGCGGATGTGAACAGTACCTCACGATTACGAACAAATACTCTAAAATCACAGCAGTTTGCATTGAATGAATAGACCTCGAACACGTTTTTTGCGTCTCAAGTTTTGTGCAGCCTATTATCGGCTGAGAACCTCTTTGCATTCAACAATATAACAAAGTAGCTCGTTTGAAAGGTAATGTTGCAAAGACACTGACAATGTTATTCGTTTCACAAATACTTCTGTGTGCAATTTATTGTTTAGTGTACATGTACATGTGTGTACTGTACACTGAATTATCACTGTAGGGATCACTGTTGACTTTTTCTACCATGTGAACCGTCTACGACCGGGTTGCCTACTCGGTAGACAAAATCCGCTCTCATGACTGCATGCGGCACCACGGGCTTATCTGATGCAATATGCCAGGTGCACACAATACATGTCCCTCCGCCGCAGAATGCTCGCCTTCAAGTCAGGTGGTTGGCACAACTGCATGCCACCATTTCCTTGCTTCTACGGTCTTCTCTACGAAGCGTCAGTAAATACCTACGTACGTTTCGACCCGACCTATAGCGGGCCTCGTTTTTGTCTTTCTGTTTTTTTCCCTCTGTTTTTCCTTTAATTCCCTATTCCTCTGAGAGAGTTGGGCTGAACTTTAGGTACGAGGTGCCCGGCTCGGCAGGCGCAGGCTGCACGGGCACGACTTTGCGGTCTGCGCCGCGAGAGACCCCGCTGCCTTTGCTGCACTTGGTGAAGGGCCGTCCAGCGACCGCAAACACGTGCGATGTGACCATATTGTGGACGCGCAAGTGCCCAGTCCACTTTTTGAGCGACCACGATGGGATCGTCCAGAAAGTCCGCGTCCGCTTTCCTCAGATCCGTTCAGCACATTTGCGGGAGCTCGGCGCCTGCGAGACTCGAGATAGGCCACCCCGCAGTACACACATGCACTGCAAGGCAAGATGCTGTCTATCTACCAGGCGCTTCGAGAGCTTACAGGGGCTGGACGTGTACCGGGCGTACCGGGTGATTCGGAGAAGACGCAGGTGCGTGTGGGATTGCCTACCCGCTCTGCCCGTAAGGCAGCATAGCCGCTTGTAGGCAAACCCGCCCGCATCTGCATCTTCTCTGAATCACCCGGTACTTAACAGGGGTTCATAACGGATGTCTTTTCCGGACGATCCTTTTATGCCTACGAAACGCGTTGGTTTTGAGAGTCGAGGATAAGCAGCTGGGCCGCGCCGAGGATCGATATGTGTGTGTGCATGCGAAGTGCGGGCCCGGCGGGTCTCTCCTATGGCGGGCTCGCGGCCGCTGCTGTAGCTCGTGCTTTGGAAAGCAGATCAGAAAAGGAGGCCGACATCGCCCCGTCCAGGCAGCGGGGCGCGTAGTCCAGCCCGGCGGCCCGGCGCACCTATAGGTGCACCGGCCTGCACGGCGCGGACGCGTTTACTGCTCCGGATCATCTGATCCCCTGGACGATTGGACCATCCTGGCGCCGGTCCCAGAGCTCCGGGGGAGCGGACGCACAAAGGGCGACAGGCGACAGCTAATTACAGACCCCAGGGCCTCTGCCGCTCGAAACATAAAGCCATAGAGATGGTGGAGACGTGCTCCCGCGTCTGACGTCCAGGAGCGGATCCAGGTACCAGGAGCGTATAGGCGCGGCCTAAAACAAGGAGGTGCCCGCGCCACGCTTTTACCGAGGGTTTTCACCGAGGTTCTGACCTAATTACGAGGGTAAAACATGTGGATTTTGCATCCTCAGAGACTTTTCTGTTGAGGACCAGAGGGGCTCACAGAGGGGACCCCAACTCCCTCCCAGGGCTCCTACAAGGCGGAAAATTCGGAGAGATTTGTTTTACTGATGTCACGAAACAAAAAAATACCGCGTTCGACGCTTTCCCATCACGCGACAGTTGTGGGGGGAGAAGGGGTGGAGTGTGGGGGAGGGTGAGAGGGTCATCGTGGTGCTCCGATTTGCATATGAAATACCTTCACTTTGTTGAGCGCGCGTGTACGAAGTGAGGTGAGGGGGGCGAAAAAAAGTGAAGAAGGTATGACTGACAAGCGCCTGCGCTGACAGGGGCGTCCTGGGTGAAAAAAAAGTACATTAGTTAGTTATACTAGCTAATGTGTTCTCAATGTGTTCAGTACACTGTTAATGATTTTCATCATTTCACGATACTAATCCGTCACTATTATGTCGTAATTGGAAACAACGCAGGGGCGGTAAGGGAGGGAGGGTGATTTAACAGCTTTTAATTACCTAGTTGATACGGGGAAACAAAAGTTTAGTCTCTGTCTTTCGAAAAAGATTCATCTCGTAATCGAAGAGTGGTATCGGCTCGTTTGAAAAGGAAATTAGATTTTGTGTTAGAATTTACTTAAAACAAGAGAAAATTTCGTCAGGAACAAGAAGCAGTTATTCTGGGTACGGCGACGAGCTTCGTTTCCTTCGCGAAGTCGCATGTGTACTATTTAACACACCTACCAGATGGCCGATTGGCTCGCTTCGTAGTTACTCACGACATTGTTTCCCTTGGGATCAGGGATCACCCAGTAGTAACGTCCGTCATTACTACTACGTCCCTGCCAAGTTCAGCCGTTGCAGACCTCTCATAGCGCCTGATAGGTAGGCAATATCTCGCATGCAGTGCAGGCGTGCACTGCGGGGTGTTCTACCCCGAGTCTCGCGGGCGCCGAGCTCTCCCAAGAGCGAAAGATATCTGACTTTCACTAAATTTGATTCATAATTTGGGGTCCTCACCCAATGAGAGTGAGGCTCCCCATTGCAATTGGGCGAAGTGAGGGAAATCTTACTCCTTCAGAGTGAGAATTCGGTGCATAGGACTCAAATAAGGCGAGCCTTATAGTCATCGCTCTGATTGAGCTAGGCAAAATTGCCTCACTCATTATGAGTACGACCCCTGATTCAATGGTTTTCAGTGAAGTGGAGTATTCGAATTCGTCCTTCGGGATCCGCACACCCCGCAACTGGGCAGCTCATTCGGCCACGAATAACGGGACGATGCATGTGGAATGATAGGTTCCTATCCGTATTCTTTGAGGCGGTGATGTTGTCCTTTCTCCCGCGTGCTCGTCACCCAACCGTCACCGGGACGGCCCGTGTAATTTGCGAGGAGGAGGGGGGGCACGGGCTGATAGTGAAGAGGGAGGCGCCGGCTAGTTGTCCTGAGAGGGACATCCTCCTACTTGTCTTTGTGTGACAGCTGCGCTAGTGGCAGAGTAGGGCAGGGAGAGAGAGAGAGAGAGAGAGAGAGACAGGTGGAGCGGCGCGGCGTGGAGCGACCTGCCCTGCGGCAGCCAGCGTGCAGTGGGGGCATAGGAGCCTAGAGCAAAGTTTTCTACCTTCACGGGGAAAAAATTAAAAAAGATTCACTCTCGCAGCTAATACATTTGCTGCTACTTGTACACGTAAAAACATTCTAAGCACAGTGGTCGCCTGCCAGCCTTTTGGCACTCCACTGTGGAAAATAGAACCCAGGTAGCAGAGCTGCATAAATGTGATTTTGTGTCCAATCTAAATAGCGCCTAAAACGAGTGCAGGCGCCTATGCGCGTACATGCGCCTAAAATGCGCGTTTCAGATGGGACATATAATGCGGCTTGAATGCAGTTTGCTCCATTTTGCTGCCTGGGTAGGAAGGTTTACAGGAAAATTTTCCTTGAACCAAAATGAAAGAAATTTAAAATTACAATTTTTAATTACAAAAATACATGCAGTACGTTGTATCGACATAAAATGCATTGGCGAGTAAAAATGCGCATTCGTGAATTCACAACTTAAATTATAATTCGAGTTTACAAAAAAATTGTAAATTTACGGCAATATTTTTGACAGTGTCTCTTATGACTGCCAAATTTTTGCCATCTGTTGGAGACTCCTTATTTTTTCCGCCTTCTTGGCAAAATTACGGCCTGTGAAGCAGCTTAAAGTTGGCATTCTTTTGAGAAGATATTAAATTTTGGCAAATAACGAATGACCTGCCATATCCAGTATGGACTGTGGCAGTGAATCTTTTTTTCCCAGTACGAGAACTAGTGTGTCAGCTGGTATGGTCACCGTGTGAGAGGCTGAACCTTCTCATTTGGAGTACCTTGCAGAGGACGTATTCCACGTGGCTCGACCTTGATGGAGCCTAATGACTCCTATGTGACCAACCAAAACGCATGGCAAAAACCATGACGTGTAATGGAAGAAATGCTTCGGGAATGTCTATGGTTTTTCCAAACAGCGTCATGAAAACCAAAAGACGTCGTCTTTTTTACCGTGTGGTGACCATCCCAGTTGGCACATTAAGTTCTCACAGGTAATGTTTTGTTGAAGCGACTAAATTATTTTTCCGTGTACAGCGGAATGCCTGGAGCGGATAATTGCCACTGGGTGGGTGCGAACGATCCACGAGGCGGGCCCGACGGTGGCCCGACCTGCTCGCCTGGCTGTTCGTAGAAATGAAGTAGCATCGGTGCAGATCCGAGCCGAAAATTGCGGCGTGGTCCCAGTAGTTGCTTGAGCACGAAGCCCCAAAGCTGAGTATGGGCTTGGAGGGGCGTGGTTGGACCAAAACGAAAGCCTCTGAGGCCGACGGCGCCGGCGGCGTGGTGGTTACCTGGACACCGGGCCACTGGGCCACGCCAGCTCACATGCGTTTACTCGTTCTTCCCTTCTATGTACTTAACTCTATCCTGTAACCTGGACCCCAGCTTTTTTCGTAAAGTTAGTTTTACTTCAACCCATGCTGCCATGTGAGTGGGTTGACTATCCTCTCAGAGCCAGAATGCTACATGTTTACACTACTGGAAAAACATTTTTGCAATGTTTGTACATTTATGTGTGCAAATCACGATTTTGCACATTTAATGCACAGAATCCAAACGTCACGTAAAATATCTAAAGTTTGTACCGTTGCGGACACATACATTCGTACACTAACTGTCCGAACCGACGGCCTACAGTGCAGTTGATAAATATTTCTCACAGCAAACTTTATACAGTAATTGGCTGAGCAGCCAAGCAATAAAAATAAAGAATCTGAATAAGAATAAGAGGCGAAGCCTTACAATCGAGTGGAGTAGCCCCCAGGAGTTTGGGAGATCACGGCCCAACTTATGGGGATCCAACCTTCCCAATCGTAAAGTTTATAGGGTTGATGTGAGTCAGAGATATGTTGTTTTGATCAGAGCACTACAAAAATTGCTGCGAAACTAATTTTCGAGCAATTATTTTCTTGGAAAGATAAGTGAGGGCAAGGTTAAAATGAGCGCTTGCTTCTAAAACGCCTCATGTTGCAGTCTGTGCGTTGGCAAGCCTGCGCATGAGAACGGCATCGTAGAACTGAGGTATATTTCGTACGCGCAAGGAGCGGCGTTGAGTAAATGGGCAAAATGGGTACAAAAAAAAAAAAAAAAAAAAAAAAAATAAAGGAGGAAAGAAGAAAGAAGTTGAAAATTACTTCCCCATGATAATTAATTGCCAACATAACAAAATCACAAAACAACGGAAACGCACATCGCTTCCGCGACCAGGGATCAGCCTCTTTGTCTATAACAATGCCTAGTGGGTATGCGGGCCTTGAGCACGCAGTACCGTCTGTTAAGGCAATACACCACAGTATCGCGGGTTTGCTTACCCGATGTGCCCGTAAGGCGCCATATCCCCTTGGGTACGCAAACCCGCAACACTGGGGAGTATTACACTCGGTACATGTATTGGGGTGTATCAGAGCGGACGCGCACTATGTTGTGGGTCGACTCTCCACCCGTCAAGGACTATCCAGAAAGTACGTCCATTTTTCTCAGATTCGTTCGGCTAATACCCAGAAAAATTGTTTCTTGTTTCAAGAAAATTTTTCCTTGTTTCAAGTGCAGGCTGACACAAGATCAAATTTACTCTTGAAACAAGCTGATATTTTCTTTCGAACAAGAGAAATACCTTATTCCAAACACAATATTGCCTTGTTACAATGGCGAATTTCATCTTGTGTCAGCTGTCAGCATGCACTGATAAACCAAGTGTACAACTGTTCAACACTTGAAAGTGTGCAACCACAAGTTCAATACTTGCAAGTGTTCAATTCACTAGTAGTACACTTGCAAGTGTTAAACTCGGTATTTGTGCACTTGTAAGTGTTCAACTCTCCTGTTGTATACTTCACTAGATCGGGCGCTTACTGTGACAACTAAATTGAACACTTGCAAGTATTGAACTTGCCGTTGCACACTTAGTAGTGTTGAGCAGTTAAACACTTGGTTTATCAGTGTGCACTTGAATCAAGAAACTATTTTTCTGGGTGTACAAACGGGAGCTCGGCTGGGTGCCTGCGAGCCGCAGGGTAGGCCACCCTGCACTGCAAGCAATATGTTGCCTACCTAACGTGTGATATAAGAGCCTGTAGAGGGCTGAGCTTGGCAGGTTCTCATCGGCGAATGAAGGACATATTTTCTGGAAGAACTCTGGCGGCCCCCTGCAAGAGGATACAATCATACAATCCCTCGACACTTCGACGTTCGCTCTTCACACACTCGCCGTACAAAGGGTAGGCAGGGTAGGCAGGTGCACTGTGAAAAATGCTGTCCGAAAGTACAGTTTTCCTACGGTCCGTCCTGTATATTTTATGTACTGGCCAGACCTTAAAGATATGTACAGTACTTCACTGTCTAAGTAAAGTGCTGTACTGACCAAAAAGGTGCAAAAGTTACGGTACACCCTGAATGGAGTGGACCGTCATCCAAAATCACAGTCGCGGATCTGATAACAAATTAACAGGGCGCACTGAAGACATTTCCTGTAGGCTTTTCGAACAGTGTGATAACCATGCCCAGCAGTGTGCCCAGTTGCCCCCTTTTCACGTTCCCTTGCTGACTACGTGCCGTTTGCAGATCGCTCGGTCTACCCCGCCTCATAAACCCCTGTCCTCATTGAAGGGTAGTGGGATGTGCAGTCCCTGCAGCAGCCCGCGGGCCGCGGCCAACGGCCCGATGCCCAAGGCGGCCGGGGTCCAGCATGCACCGTGCTGCTCGCCGTGGCGCATGCAGCCCGTGTGCGTCAGCACTGCACTGTATTCATGCCCCGGTAAGTGTCGGGGGAGCGAGATCAAGGATAATCGGCCGCCCCCCATCTTCACGCTATTCGATCTATTCATTTAAGAGGTTCGTATGGTACAAACTGGAATTACGGCAAGAATCGATTCAACCACGTGTAACGGCGCTGAAAGTCTCTTTGTTATACGCAAAAACTGCATGGGTTGGGTGTTGTTTTCCCGCTCCATCCTTATCATCCTTTGTGATTTTGGGGCACACCGAAACATCACACCTAGTTATTATAGGTCTATTGACAATATAGTATAGTATGAATGGACCCATTTTATTTGTTGCCGGGATCTTGTCTGTCACTTTTACTCGTATTTACTGTTCAATTCTTCTCATGCTTTGTGATTTTTGTTCGAATTAAAACAATCACCCACGCGTGGCTTATTTACTGTCATGTGACCGCGTGTTGGTTACCCTTCCAGATCCGTTCAGCACTGTTCTATTTTGCCCCTGACGTCTGAACACCCCGCGCGCTAGATGTTATGGAATGATGGCGAAGGCAGCAAATAATGCAAAGGATATGGGCGTGATAACTTTAAACTGGAGCTTGGCGCTGCGCTCAAGGATTCTGATATGTTCAACGCGCTCAACCCTCAACAAACCCCCCTCCCCCTCTCCTTCCCCGATGCATCGCGTGCAATTGTGTTGGACATCAAAAACGCATAGCGGCCGAAACTGAGACGGAAACAATAGAACAACAAGCTTTTATTTGTTGCCATTCCCGCAACAATTTAATGAAATTAACAAGGACGTTACTTTGCTCTGATGGTCTGGGTAATGAAACACCTGCTCTGCAAGCCCAAGTGTTGTACAGTATCACTGTTTAAACTGAAGAACAAATGGATGTGCAGTTTTAATCACAGCCTTTTGGCCATACGTGTGGTCGTCACAAGGGACGCAATTTGTCAAAGGGCTGTCCTACAGCTGTCCAGCACTTGTAACTGTCGGGTCGGGCATGGGGTGCCCTACGTACACATCCTACAAGTATATAACGTATAGTTTAAGACTGCAGTACTATTGGTAAAGCAGTTCAATCTACTGGGGATACCGTAGTAAGGCCACATTTACGTATGCAGTATACGCCTCGCATTGAAAATAATTCAGGAAGTGACATGCTGCGCGGGTGCGTCACTGCGCCCCCTCGCCTTGACTTTTGTCGACCAACGACCCGACCGCGGGCATGAAGAGCAGCGGCGGCCGTGGCCGATCTGCCATCAGTGGCATCAGGCCCGGTAGAGTGCAGCGGAGCAGAAGCGTCTGCAGCCAGTGCTCTCGGGGGTTCGGGGCGCGGTGGGCACAGGCGACATGGCGGGCAGAGCTCGAGGCAGGAGGGCGGCTGCGCACGGGGCCGGGGTGGCCCTCACGACGTTCCGGGTGCTGGTCGTGGCCGTCTGCTTGGTGTGCGCTGCCAGCGTCGCCGGAGCAGACCTGGACGCGCGGGCCGAGGCGGGCGCCGTGTACACGGAGGACCGTCTCTCGAGCTACGAGAGCGTGTGGGGCCATGACGAGGCCGCCGGAGGTGAGTGAGTGCCGCTGGTCATACTCTCGCTATTTAGTCGAGACAGTATGACAGCGTCGAAGTCCGCCGTCTGCTCGCAGGGGTCGATCGCATCGCGGATGGCGGCCTGGACCGGCTGGACCTCCTACAGGCCCTCAGAAACCGAACGGGTTCTCCGCGCTGCCGCCGAGCGCTCGACACCGTCCTGGAGGCCAGGGCACAACTCAGGATATGGGCGCTCAGAAGTACGTGTTAGAAGCAGACGGAACTAGGTTGTAGGCATACATGTACCGGGTGTAACTGTGAATACGGAGCAGTGTTGCGGGATTGCATACTCAATATGGCCGCAGGGGACATGGCCCCTTACGGGTCTAAAGAGTAGGCAAACCCGCAACACTGCTGCGCATTCACAGTTACACCCTGTGCATGGTGTCCCACAGACCCCTTCCTCTAAATGACTTAAATCGGCTTATACTGTGCAGGATGCAGGCGTGCGGCCGGGTTGCATACCCACACGGGGACGGGGCCATAAGGCGCCGCGGTGAGCGACGGTAGGCACGCCCGTCCGCACGCCCTTGTGCAGTACAGTATAAAGCAAAATAAGGGATGGGGTCTGTGGACCACCCTGTACCTCACCATTAAAATGTGTTCACGATGAGTAAACGGAGGGAAAATTACAGGAGCTCGGCGCCTGTCAAACTTAGAGTAGGCCACTCCGCAGTACACAGCTGCTTGGCGGGTAGGCCTACCCAGTGTGTTACGGGCGCTATCATGAGCACTGCCCTTCTCCAACTTTGTGGTAATAATTTCTCTGTGCCTCCCAAGTGGACTTCTCGTCGGTCGTGCTGCCGGGCGCCGTGCTCTCCGGCGCCATGAGCCACCTGGGCGACTATGACGCTTGCGTCGGCGTGCCGGACGCCATATACTGCCTGGTGGACGTTGAGATTCGCCCACTGTCGTCCGGCAAGCCCCACATTCTAGACGAGAAGAGCCCCTTCGAGTTTCCGAACGGACACAACGCTACGTTGTGGGATGCGCTAAAGGTGTGGTAACAAGAACATATTCTCCGTCTCTTTTTCGGCAGCGCTTTAATGTCGGTAATGGTTTTTTGTGTGTTTGTGCTCTGCCCTGCAGACGTCGGGCAACCGCCGCCGCTACCGTCGGGACTCGCAGCAGTGGGCGATGTGTCTGCCCGCGGGTTGCGGCCAAAGGTGACCGCTCCCAATCGATGGTTGGTTATGGGACTCACAACTTCTTGTTGGGCGATTGACGCTGACGTATTTCTGTTCAGGCGAGGGCGCGAGGATCTAGGCTTGGACCTGGCGGCCGCGGTCAGCCCCATGGGCAAGGCGCTGGGGGTCCAGCTTCGGCTGCACCTAGACCCCGCCGACTGCTCGCCAGACAGCGCCGACGCCGGCAGCGCTCCCACTACGCTGAGCGCCGCTCTAACCAGACCGCTATTCCAAGTCGGAAGGTAAAGTGTCGTCCGTTGTCTTACCCCATAATCAAGTAATTCTTCGTTTCATTTTTCGATCTTGCAACCAAAATTTATCGATTTTCAGCCTGTTTATCCTTCTGTTCCCCGCTCTCACGCTTGCCGCATGCTTGAAGGAGGATATTTTCGACCGTGGGTCAGACGAGTTAAAGGGAGGAAAAGGTAATGGATGGTTTTAAGAAATAAAACGTACAACAACATGCTTACATGGAGCTAATTTTTAGCTGATCTGCTTTCTTGTCGCAGGTGCCGTGCAATCAATATTGTCTTGTTTTAGCGTTCGGAAAAATTGTCGCGCACTTATGAAAAGGAAGAATTCGATGATTCACGCAATTCAAGGAATTCGTGTCTTGGCCATGTTCGGAGTCATTGCTGGTCACAGGGCGCTTTTTCCGAACATGGGGCCAATTCTTAATCCAGAGTTATATGAAAACGTATGATATGATCCCAGCTCAGGTTCTGCTGTAAAGTCAAGAGTAATATCTGTAATATGGATTTTGATAATCTTTCAGGAATTTCACACACCTGCTATGATGATGGTAGTCAACGGAAACGTCATCGTCACAGTATTTTTTGTGATAACCGGCTTCTTAGAGGCACGTGCTTGGCTGACAACGTATGAAAAGCTGCCATCATTCAGTTATGTGGTGGTGCTCGGGTCCTACATCGGCAGATGGCTCAGGTGATGAACCACGTTGGAACGTTGGTGGTTGAAAGGTTAAGAGGAGTGGTCAATGTCGCCCTTTCCTTGGCAGGCTGACTCCGGCGCTAGCCGTGATGGTGGCCTTCGACGCGCTGTGGCTGGAGCACCTCGGCGCGGGGCCGCTCTGGAACCAGCACGTCGTGAAGGCGGAGGCGCAGGTCTGCAAGGACTACTGGTGGACCAACATCCTCTACATCAACAACTACTACGGTACTGGGGTAAGTCTTCTCTGCGACCGGCCGCGCCCCGCGAGGGCGCCGGGACGGCAGGCAAACACTTGGGCGGCAGCGCCTCACGAGCTGCCAGGGTAACGGGGGCGCTGCCACTCGCGCTGACGTGACGCTCAAGCTGACGCCGCCGCTGCCCACAGTGCATGATGCAGACGTGGTTCCTGGCCGCCGCCCAGCAGATGTCCCTCGTCACGCCGTTCGTCATGTGGGCCGTGCACAGCCGCAGCAGCTCGGGGCGCTCGCCCTGGCGCGGCTGCGCGCCGCTGCTCCTGCTGCTCGCCGCGGCCTGCGCCGTGCTGTACGCCTGCACCGCGGCCTATGCGCTGCTGCCCGCCACGCCCGTCTTCCCCATGTAAGCCACGTGTAAAGGGTCATCCAGAACGTACGGCCGTCATTCGCCGTGACTAACCTGTCCAGTTCAGCCGGTGCGAGCTCTCCTGGCGCCTGGTGGGTAGGCAACATTTTGCCTGCAATGCGTGCGTGTAGTGCGGGGTGGCCGACCCTGAGGCTCGCAGGCGCTCCGATCCCCCGCAATTTGCCGAATAATCTGAAAAAAAGCGGACGTACTTTCTGGATGCCAAAGCCCTTGGTTAAGGGTCTTCAGCGTCGGTGGAAGCCTGATTGCCTTCCTCTCTGCTCCCCACCCGTAGGATCCTGCAGCGGGGCAACCTGCTGCACAACGACAACTTCCTGAAGCAGTACCTGCCCACGCACACCAACGCTATCTCCTACATCGTAGGCCTGCTCGCTGGAGCCGTGGCCTACTTCGCTCGTGCAAGAGGGTGGTCCCCATCGCAGGTGAGCGTTTTACTTTTATTCGGTCATTACAGGTCACTCCAAAAGCGTCCACTCCGGTCCTCTTGTTCTGCCTCCAGTCCGCGCGCCGAGTGCTGTCCCTCGGCATCCCATTGGGGTACGTCCTCATGAACGTGTCCATCATGCTGGGCGTCGTGTACCTCATGTACGAGTCGGAGCGGCCTTGGCTGGAGGCCCTGTGGGCGCCCGCCAGGACGCTGGCGTTCTCCGTTCCCGTCGCCTGGGTCATCGTCACCTGCAGCCTGGGCTGCGGAGGTGGGTGTGCCGTGAGCTCCCTGCCCAAAAGGACTGCTGCAAGTTGAAACATCATACAGATTCGCTGCATAAACCTGCTTTGCATCGTAGGTCTGCTCGAGTGGTTTCTCAGCAGAACGCCAATGCTCGTCCTGGGGCGCCTTGCCTACTGCGTCTACCTCTGCCACGTCACCTTGGTCATCGCCACTTACGCGTACGCTCGACAGCCTCTCTTCGTCGGCAGATACACCTTCGTAAGCACAGCGAATCTGCGAGATGTGTGTTATATTCACAGTGAAAGGTTCATCAAAATTCTAAATGACTATTCTTGATTGCAGTTTCATGCATGTGCGGGAGACATCTTCCAGTCATTCCTCTTCGGGTTCCTTCTTCACATAACCGTCGAGGCACCCATGTCCAATGTTCTTATGATGTTGTATTCTGGCGGTAAGTTTGTTCAACTGTTCTTGGTACATACCAGACTTAGGCCAGAGGTGGGTAATAAACGTTGGCCACAGCCGTTAAACAGACAGTCCCCTCGACCTGTCCCCGCTTTGGATCATTTTTCGTTCACCTAGATATAGATAGTTATCTCTGGTATAGCCCACATCTTGTCCACGCTGATCCATCCGCCGGTCGCCGAAGCCGGACCCAGTGAGAACAGTGATCGAATAGACCTCGAATCAACGTCGATTAGGCCGGTCGAAAAATTGTCAATTCCAAATGTCGAATCGACGGGATTTTGCCCGGCAAATCAACGCTTTTTCGACATCGACTATGTCGATACTTTATCAAAAAGGGACTAAAGGACTGTACGGTCAGGGAAAGGCCCTGTCTCAAATCGACGTCGAATCGACATCGATCATGAACAATACGAAATTTCTTGCAATTTAGTACCAGGAACCGTTCTGCACCCAGAAAAGTGGATTCTTCATTTGAGTTCCGGTGCTTGACAAGTTGAGGACAGGTACTTGTTTTGAGAATATTTTACTCAATTTGATCTAAAGAAATTCTTAAACCAAGTCCTGGGCCTCAACTTGTCAAGTACCGTACTCAAATCAAGTATCCACTTTTTTGGGTGTGCACCGAGCTGCATAAAATGTGCATTTTGTGTCCAATCTAAAAAGCGCCTAAAACGCGTGTAGGCTCCTAATATGCGCGTACATGAGCCATTTTCAGATGGGACTTATAGTGCAGTTTGAATGCAGTTTGCTCCAATTTGCTACCTAGGGAGAGAGTGGGTGAGAGGGGTTGTGAGGAGAGTGTTGTGGTGGGGGTGCGTCCGGAGCGAGCAAACAAGTTGTGAGCAAAATTTCCACACTAACGTGTTCAGTTCATTATTTTGAGCACATTACATGGAGTATAACTGACGTTAAATACTTGCTTGATGTGCAAATTTTAGACATTTTGTTAATGTCTCAATCTTGCACACACAGTTCTATGCTATCAGTGGGAACCAGATCGGAACCGGACGGTGTTCAGCTGCTCTGCTATACGTCTATACGTTCAGGAAAAAATGTGGACATTTTGTACACTAATTGACGTATAATCTAGTAGACAACACTGTGACCAAAATTTGCAAACTTTGACTTTTATATCAATTGACGTGCAAAATTGAACACTTTGTTTTACCCATGCAGTGGTTGCTTTATTTGACGTTCCACCTGTTTATTTACAGTTTCGAAAAAGAATGTGGAGAAGCAAAGTGCAGTCGGGGAGAGCCCGGATCAGCCGATTTCCATCTCTACCTTAGACGCTTCAGCAGTGGAAAGTCAAGTGTCAAAGTTGTAATAAAAAGTGTACATGCATTTATATGTGCGCGGTTTCCGCCTACAATGGAACGTAATGTATAAAAATAAATGAGGGTTTTGTACGAAAATGTAGCGTTGTTTTCTCGGAGAAAACAATAAGGTATTCCTTCACTGTTATCTCTGGTGCTCGGTTTCATACAAACTAATGCGATAATAGCCCAAAAGCGATTCCCACATAATATTGCACCTGGGGGGGGCAGGCTTAGAAAAATTATCGCACTAAATTGACATTTGTCATTGCCTGATGTGCGATAATTTTTACACATTTTACTGCGATAATTTACTATCGCAGCAAAATGGGGTAAAATTATCGCATTTTATGCAATAACAAGTTATTGCACTAAATTTGTTGTCATCATTGCATTGAGAATTACAGTGTTTAAGACAAGGTATTCCTTTGAGACGAAACCGGACCCTTGAGACGGAAAAGCACAACAGCCCCGTCTTGTATTCACCTGAACCCCGATTGGTCCATACGATCCGGAAAAGTCCCCGAGGTGACGTGAGGAAAAGTTGAGCGACAAATGTTTTCTTGACTGACGCTCCTGCCCTGCCTACCTCCCGTCCCGCAATTGGGCGCACTGGGCGGGCCGCCGTCTTCACACAGCTGCTTGGCGGGTTGGCCTACCCAGCGCGTGGGAGGCGCCAGACGCGTTGCCTCCGTAAAGACATTGTGGGGACACCCTTCTCCTTCTGTAGTCCATCATGAGGGTGGAAGGGGGAACTTGACCTCAAGCATCAGTTTATCTTCGCCGAATTTGTTTGCATTTTCTTCCTTTCTCCTAATCTTGCCACCACCAAACCCCATCTCCTTCATCCGATCCAATTTGAATCACGCGCCACTATTGTGTTGTCCAGTCGTATATTTATCATACCCCTCTAGTCTTCGGAGAAATTTTTCATATGCTGAAGGGACAGAAAAACCTTCTGCTGCATAGTTTCGGCATATTCCTGACGGTGACTGACTGTAAACCGCAACCGAGCGAAAGAAATTGCAAATATCCTCAAAAGATGGGGTGGAAAGTATTTCGGATTGGGTGCCTATTATCTCTTCTCGTTGTTCTTGTTGCCATTTGGCTACGTCCCGGCACAGAGCGCGAAATAGATGCAGAAGTTCGAGCTATCCTCAGAGGGCTGATAGACGTGGAGACTCCTGACAGAGTTCGAAAACCTAAAGTAGCGGTGGGTTATGGTGCCTGTATGGATGTATTTACTAACGCAAAGGATGTTCTGCAATTTAAAGAGTCCGATCTTGATCCTGGCGTAATTACTAACGATGTCGAGCTGATGCAGGCATATACATACTTCTTCCGTCATGGAGCAGCTGCAGAGTGAGTTTGCTATATTTCAGAATAATGTGTTCTGATCCAAACACTGATTTACATTATTAATTTATGTTGTGGTTTTACATTGAATCGGCTGTACCCTGAAATTCTACTTCCAGACGATTTGTACACAACAGTTCTCTATTCGACATGCTTGTCGAGCAAGCTGAACAGGTTCCCGGTGCAAGATGGGAAATGGGAGGTACTGCAGCTGTAATGGCTAACCGCTTCTCTCTTGAAGGATGTGATGTATTACTTGGGGCCAAGATGACTCCCAGATTGCTAAAAGCATTTTCACCCAATGTTAAAGGTATCGTAGTATTGCTTAATTATGTTTTCCAATTTGTTTTCTGTTTTGATTTACCAAAGATGTGTTCCGTGGTAACTTTTGCTGCTATGTACTTTTTGGCTCATCACTTTTTCAACTTGAAACAGTTTAGAAAATTAAATCTTAATTCATACTAACAATATATTTGTTCTCATAACACTTTTGAAATCATCATACATAGCTGATAGTATGATAGTAAAATCGTTTCTGTTTTTATCAATTTAATCATCTAATTAACATTGCATGTGTTTGCCTTGTGTTGTGTGCATAGTTGTTGGTGGTGATGTAAGTAAGGATGATGTGCATCTCATACTTGAATACAAAGCTGGCGAAACTTGGGGATCTTTCCAAGCCCCAAGAGCTAATAGGCAAGTACAAATTTTACCATATTAAATTTACTAGTGATAGACCTATTGTGCTCCTGACATTGAAAGGTTTTCTAGTTTAAATCATTCATTAAAGCAAGTATGTTGGTGGGTCTTTCAGGTTTATTTTGCATAATGATGACACGAATCCCACATTGAGCTCCCTAGAAGATTTTCAAGCAGCCCTAGAGGCATTTGAACCAGATCTGCTTGTAGTTGGTGGTCTGCAAATGATGGATAACTTTCCATTCCAAAAAGGTAATTCCTTTAATATTTCATTTGAGATTTTTCAGGTATCTCTAGCACTGCACTTCACATAATTTTCTGTATGTTTGCACAGGAGTACGTGAAGCCAGACTAAAACTTGTTGAGGAGCAAATGAGAAAGCAATCTACAAGGACAAGAGTACATTTTGAACTAGCTTCTTTTGCTGAACCAAAGCTAATGATTTATTTAGTAGATAGAATTCTACCTCATGCAGATTCTCTCGGTATGAATGAACAAGTAAGTATAAATTTAACCCTTGTTGCGTGAAGTGTTTCTAACCCTTCTGTTTAGTCAGCATTCCTTCTTGTGGTATTTGCAGGAGCTAGAAAATTTGAAAAGCATAATTTTACATCAAAGAGTCAGTGTTGTAACTGATTCTAATCCTAGAGTTGCAACTGTTCTTGACGACATGAGAGAGGTGTTCAAGTAAGTTATCTAAGCTTTCTGCCATTAATGTGAAAAAAAATCAGATTTGTAATTAAAATAATATGCTGTTTCTCTTTAGGCAATTACGTCACAAGGGTAAACAAATTTCTGGAAGTCGTAGTTTAACACGTATCCATGTGCATACCTTAGCCTATCAAGCAATATTAACAGTTCATGGATCTCCATGGAAGAATTCAATTGGAGCAGCAGCTAAAGCTTCTCTTACTGCTCATAGACATGTTTGTGGTTCTGCATCTGTAAGTTCTGTTTTTAATATGATGTTTTTAAAAGCAAAGAGTAAACTTGTTAAGACCCAACCACATTCTGAAATTTGATACCATCATCTGTTCTCCTTAGGTGGATGTTGAAAAGGCTCTTCTCATGATGGATGAAAGTTTTTCAACCTCAACGGCTGAAGGAAGCAAGAGAATGCCACTTAATGTGACTAGCCCAATCACCTGCTGGGATGAGGAGTGTGATGGCACTACTATAAATCTGTGTGTTGCCCCTGTACTTGTTTGTACGCATGCCAAACAAACATGTGGAGGGGGTGATAATATTTCATCTGCTGGAATTTCTATGCAGATTTAAATGTGTGTAAATTTCTGACTGCTGATTATGAGGTCTGAGTAGTTGACATATTGCTCATTCTAGATTTGTCATTTACAATAACCTATGGCCTCTATGTCTTTTGGCAAAATTATGTACTTTATGAGCATGGCACATACGTGTGTTGCTGTTCTAGATGTCATACGGTATGTCAAATTTGATCCAATGCTTATGCTATATTTTTTGGGTTTTTTCAAAGTTCACGGCTTGTGAGTTGTGCAAGGCATTTGTTACTAGCAAGCACTGATTTTATTTTATAACAAGACTACCTGATTTTAATTATTGGTTTTCCAGGGACCTTTTTATTTTTTAACAAAAGTTACCAAGTGTGAAGAACATTGTTTTGTTTTCTTAAAGTAGCTGTCAAATGTTTTGAACGACGTGTGCTCTCAAAAATGCTTCTAGACTGTGTAGGGATATAGTGATCCAGTGGAATCTCAATATAATGTTATCTGGCTAGAAAGCTTAGTTTTTAGTTACTAGCAAGCACTGATTTTATTGTTATTTGATTGTAATTATTGGTTTACCAGTCACAATTTTATTTTGTATGCAATTCCTCAGTGATCAGTCACTTTAAAAATCTGACTGATGAAATGCTGTGATATCTAATGTATCTCACTGCCTGGGGTAAAATCGATAGTCTACTGTTCCATTATGTCAATTTTTATTATGTTTATGTTATTTTTAACATAATTTGTGCTTTTTACACACAAGCAGGTGATTTACTTTAATACTGCATTTCAATCCATTGTATCACATTGAGTCCCACATGAACACATGTATGGTTATAATAAGCCACCCAATCCTATCCTGGGACTCAACGAGTTATTATTGGACCATTTTAAATTTGACATTGTAGTGAAATATTTTTCAATTACTTGTGTAAACTTTTACATTCCTACTTTTTGTCTGTGAATAATTGAAGTTTAGAGTTGAATGACAGTTGAGTTTAGCACATTGAAATGATTGTGTATTGTGTTCACATAAGAACTGACTTTTCTTTTCTTAAGCTGGCCATATTATATGTTAAGCACTTGAGAGGCTTAATTAGGGTGATGGTAAATAAACATAATTTGCTATTGGCTGAAAAGGGAAAAATCTTAAATTACCTTAATCCTAATACGGCTATAATAATAATAAAGATGTTTGCAGCTGTATTATGTTAACAGAGAATATATTTGATGTAAATAAACAAATTAGTTTATTTAGAAACCGTACTTTGTGACTATCCTTTTAATTGGTCACCAGGCGTCCACAGCCATTGTAACTGACTGTAGCCGTTCCAGTTACAGGAAGGTCGACATCTTCGAGGACCTCGGCCAAAACGGTTGCGCGACTATGTGTGCCTCCTGATGCCAAATTACATCTTCGTTTACTTCATTCTCAGCAAATTTTCTCCGTAAACCACACATTTTCACTGGTCTTCCCCCTTATAATCCATTTAACCCCTTTATGCCCTAACAGGAGGAAAAGAGGGTGGGGGGGGGGGTCTAGGAGTTATGTACCCGGGTGAAAAACGTCCCTGGGGAGTTCTAACCATGGCTAAAGGGGGTATATCTCCTCCTACCACCTCACCTACTCCGGCTACTCCGGCCAGTGCCCGGCGCGGTGCAGCTGGTGCAGCTCAGCCCGGGCCCCCCTGGCCGGGCGGCTCGAGCCCCACCACGCCGCGGGCCCCACTCCGCGCGCCAAGCCGCCAAGCCTCTTGCCCGGCCCAGCCCAGCCCGGCCCGGCGGCTCAGCGCAGCCGGCAAGCCGGCTCGAGTTCAGTTGACAGTGGACCGCCACTGCCGAGTGGGGCGAAGCACTGGGTAGCCAGCCGCGGCGTACCGGCATCTCTCGTGGGTACTCGCGGTCCTCGCGGTCCGGTCCGGGCCGGCTCGGCGCGGGCGATCGTGTGAGTGTGTGTGAGTGTCAGCGAGTCGGTGTGAGCACGTGTGTGAGTGTCAGCGTGTCAGTGTGTGCAACCGTGTGAACACCCGCTCTCTGTGGATATAACTTCTCCCACCGCCAGCATTGAGCCTTCAACACTACCGTGAGTATTTCTATCCCTCTGAGGTGTGGTCGACCTCCTGACGGTCCTCACTGCCATGTCATGTGACCGCTGCAGTATGGTTCTTTGGAGCAGCAAGCGCCTCCTCTCAGCTGGGCGACATCAACGCCGCGGCGCACGGTAGCCACGCGGCGCGGCGGCGGCGTTTGACCGCCCAGAATTTGTTTTGACCGCAGAGGACACGTACCTTGCACAGCCTCCCAGGCTCCACCCCGGCTGTAACGTGGTGTTGGCCAACATCGGCCAAACACACCGTTTTGAGGTAAAACACAATCGTCAAAAACTCGTCATTGACCCTCATTTGACGGCACAATGAGATCAATCTGGCTAGCTATAGCTTCAGAAAATCTTGATGATGAGCATGAGCGTCAAAATGAGGTCATTGTGACATCAATTTGACAAGCGTGCTTTACCTGGGCGGTCTGACCGCTTTCCTTCTGTGCACAGTTGTACTACCCGAGTGCCGAGGGTTTGCGTGGCCGGCAGACTGAGCTCAGAGATGCAGATGCTGCCAGGCCGCCCGCCCCGCGGAGGTCGTGGACCCTGCTGCTTTGCAGGGGCTCCAGCGCGAGGCGCGAGGCGAGTCGAGGCGCTAGAGGGGCATCCCCTTCGCGCGTTGCGCCACGCCGCGCCAGACCAGACCTACAAGCGGACCGCATACCAGAGTTGCACTCCAGGGCCGGGGCGTGGGGCGGGGCGGGGCGGGCTGCAACTGCTTGGCGGTACAACAGCTTGGCATCGCCTGGTCTGCAGCCGTCCCCTCCTAGCCCCGCGGAGCCTGCTGCTGGAGCCTGCCGCTGGAGGCACTGGAATGTAGATTATTGTGAGCGGCGTCGCCTCGCCACGCCGCGGCCCTCTCGGGCCGTTCTTCGCGGATTGCAGAAAATTTTACGACAGTGTGGCGGCTTGAAGCCACTCCACGGGACGGCACGGCAGCGGGGTGGAGTGGTGGTCGGTCGTTGCCGCATTCTGTACACTGTGTTGTCGGGCGGGGTGGGGCGGGCGCAGCCAGGCGCCCCAGCTAAAGCGCGGCGCCCGCCCCATTTACCCGCTCCGCTGTTAGGTTGGCTCGCTCGCTTGACCGCCGGATTATCTTGTCCAGCATCGTCGCTGTCCAGTAAAGTTGACCTGCGCTGGGCGCGGCGTGGCGCGGCGCAGCCTGGCATGCGCGTCCAGGCCAGTCAACCGGTCTGGTCTGGCCGGCCGCTAGCGCCCCGCCCCGCCCCG